TGATAAACCAGTATATAATACTGTAGTATAATAAGCCGACAGTATTGATAAACCAGTATAAATACTGGTAGTGATATAATAACCATGCAGTATTGATATAACCAGTTATAAATAACAGTATAGAGTGAGTAGTCATAGCACGTGGTGTACGCACCCCCCAACTAAAGTTCAATTCCAATATTAACAACTTTCAAAATATTATTTAAAATTCTTACATTTTAGACACCATTCCCAAGACCCAATTTTTTATAAGGAAAATCACCCCATTAATAACCCTGTACAGTTCCTGTACTCTGTAAACGACCCCCCCCCCGGAGCCCCCAACGAAAAACCTTTTTTTTTTTTTAATATTGGCAAGGAATTCACCTACTCCGCCCCATTTAAGGTGGTAATAATTGGGCAATCCCATCGTTCGGGGGCGGGGAGGGTGAACTAGTGAAACACTCAACTCCTGCCCACATCCCCTCCGCGACGCGCCTCGGTGCGTATGTGACTATTTGGTCTCCTCGGCTCCGCCTGGTCGCTTCGCGCCCGAGCAGAGGGCGGTGTACCAGGGGGGTCCCAAGGAGTCCGGACCACCCTGCCTCGGCGCAGAAAACGCATCTGAGGTGGTGTAGGTACTTTTTTAAAGTTTTTAGAACCCCAGACCCCCTTCGCGAGCGTCGTCGCACTTTGGAGTTAAACAGTTAACCATCAACATGGGTAACAAATTTCCGTGTACACCCCCTGCAAGCAAACATATCACACATTTGAAAACGAACCCGCTCCCAATATAAAAAGCCTGGCTACGGGCTGTTATATTATGAAAATCACATTTAGGCTAAATTTTTTACCGACATGAACTCTGAAGACATTCATCAAGACAGATCAAATTGAGTCAAAGAACATGGAAAGGTGTCAGTGTAGAATTTTCTGACCAAGGGTGGGAATGTGTGAATGGTATCCGCATTATTATGGAACCAGCCTGTAAATGTTAACCTTTATTGTATGCGCGCAATGACGCAGTTGGGGAAATATATTGTTTGGAGTATGGCCCACATGTTCTTCTTGTCTGGGTTTATGAACCTCCAACACGCGAGGAGATAGCGCATACGAAGTGCGACCGAATGGATGGGATTTGCAACGTCCAAACAAAAGACGCTGTAAGATAATAAGAGGAGAATCGCGAGTTTGTTTTGCCGCAGGAGGGTATTAGGTCTATATATAGTCGATAAGCAACAACATTGCTGGCACAACTTGTCTTATTTGCATTAAGAAAGGCTCACTAGTGCGCTTTGGCAAAAACGGCTACTTTCTCAACACTACTAGATTCTAAGGGCAAATACTTCCATTGCGATAATCATATTATTCTACCAACTTGATGGCAAAATAAACTCTAGTTCTCGCGCATTGTTTCTATTCTGCGAGTTGTTCGGTCTCATCACAAAGGATTTCTGAAATACCTCCAAGATTGTTGCAAATTCTCTGATGATATTAAGACAGTTAAATTCTCACCAATCTGCCGGAGCAACCCGTCCCGCAGCCCCGGTGCCGGGGCCCTGGCGGTACCCACAGCGGTACGGCCGAGCAAAGATGGTAACATACATGCTGGAGCGTCACGTCAACGGCCGACGGACTTCGAGGCAATTTTGTTTGGGAATACAGTCTTTAGTAATTGCGCCAGAATGCAAGTTTTACTCTGGCCTCTTTTTGTGGGTTTAAGCAAACGCGCAGTGAAATGGGGAGCAACTAGAGTTATTGTCATAAGGTCGTGTAGATTGATGGGCATGACAGCGAAGTATTTGCTAGTCTCGTACTGGAGCAATTAGCGTTTGGCACCTGGATGCGACATTGTGAAGGCCTATATAAGGCTTCCTTCAGCTGACAATTCCACTGGAATCGGGCTGTTATGCCAGTCGTCGACTAACTAGCTTTCTCATCTCTTAATTCGTTCAGTCGCGGTCCGGCAAAGCTGAATACCCACCAGTGTCGCGCGTGGCTGATCCTCCCCGTCGCAGGCCTTACTCCTTTATGTGCCTCCATACTAACACACCAACCACCGCCTGAGAACGAATGCGAACCTTGGTACCTTCGCCTCCGTCCATACATGAGGGAGAGAGCAATTCAGGAGAATGGTCCCGTCGAAATTACGTGTGGAGCGGCAATTGGTAGCCTGAGCGCTTTCCTCAGCAAAGCCACCCTACCAAAACGTCTGTGTGCGGAGTTTGCGCTGGAGCATTTTGAGGAAAAAAGAAAATTTGTGTGCGATCAAAACCTACTTTACGACAGAATACTACTTCTAAGGGCAGAAGGCCACCTCAGTTTAATTGAAACCCAATTAAATTAAACGCTGGCCGACACTCCTGACTACAGCCACCAACTGCGTTGTTATGAACTGAGAACAGCTTAGCATCTGCTATCAAACATTTCAACCATTCTCTTCGACTCAATTTGATGTTTTCCGTTAACGGATGGTTCCATCGGGTCCAACCTCAAACCCTATGAATGAATATTTCCGGCTCTAGAAACATTTCCAATCCAACATAACAACCACCTTAGAGCCCAGAACTGGAATTTTACCTCCGCGCCGTTGGCCTCGGACGACGTCTAATTAATACCACCATATGTAAAGGTAAGTATACACAATATAGATAGTATAATTCAAGTACCATTTCCATTTTCAAGAATAGATCTCACAGCTCGCACGGCACGGGCGACCCAACCTGGAACTAAACCACATTTGAACATGGGTCGGATTCAGTAAACAACAGGCGTGAGTGAGAACTCGCCGCGCGCCAACACTCCCCCGCATGCACCGCCAAGCAGTGTGTAACGCTTGGAACTGTGTTCATAACTCTTAACAAAAGGGGGAGTCGCGATATAATGTTAGTTATGATTAATCACACTCCTACGATCATACAATGTATCTATCGAGGTAGCATACAACAAATGTCACTATACACATGGAGAAGAACAAGCACCTTGAAACTGTGATGATCATAAAAAGTTGGATGCTTACTGAAATTAATGTAAAGCCTATAATACTCACAACTAAAGCGTGGCCCAGACTTTCCATGATAGACATTAAAAACACCTAGGGTTAGCAAACGCTTACACATAATGTATTATGTACAAATCTTGTTGTAGTATTGACCACCACCACAATAACCTTAATCGGTTCAAACCAATGCAGTACATAAACACAAAAACCCAAGAATCAACCTCCATACACCATTAACGTTGGGGATAGTCTGTGGGCCGCTTAACATAGGACAGCAGTAAGGCAGATTCGGCAACACGGATGTCATTGCTCCTCGGAGTGGCCCTATCATTTGGATGCTTTCCTTGCCCCATATAAAGTATTAGGGGATTTTTAATTCGAAACTAACACTCAAATTTATTACATGTAGTGCACTACGTGAGAAACTACGACTCCTCCACTCGCAGTCTATCAATAGACTATTGATAAACTATAAGCACTCGATATTGTGTCCCGCACACTATCACCGCATACACAATCTATGGACCGACGAAGGTCAGACAGTATATTAGCGTGCGCTAGAAAACATGACTCACGGAGAGTAAGCGCTGATGTTCCCCTCGAAATGCATTGTTATCTTCGACTCAGTGTGGCGTTCCAAGCAATCGCGAAGTCGTAAGTTCTTCATAAAACGACGCGGTTATACGGCATTTCCGCACACCACTAGCGGTTTGAAACACACTGACGTTCACTTCGTTCTAAGGGGGGGAACACTTGTCTCGTTCCTCGGGGGGACGAGCGCGAGCGGAAACTTCGGGAAAGAACGTGGGAATCGTCCCCATGGACATTCCCACGCCCATCAAGTTTTAAAGCCCCGCGAGAGGAGCAGCACATCAAGTCATTGTGCAATCGAAGAGAGGTTAGACCAGAACACAACCGGTGTCAAAAACAAACATTATTTGAAGGCATATTGTTGTGGGGTGCCAAATTAATGTCATTATACAAACTATAACCATGCCTATGCGCACACTTGCACCTATTTCGTACTATTTTGTCATTATAGCAGCGTGAATATATCCATCCTGATATCACCACCTATTTCGCAGCCACTATTTGTCATTATAAGCACGTGATATATCGCATCCTATACACCATCTAATTTTCGTATGCCTATTTGTCATTATAGGCACGTGATATAATCAATCCTATACACGCACACTGAATTTCGCGGCACATAGTTTATTCATTATAGCAGTGATATTTATTCCATTCCTATACACCACTATTTCTCGCACACCTTATCATATAGTCATTAACACAGCAGCTGTGATAATATCCCCACCTGCATTCTATTCACCACCGATCATCCTTCGAACGAACTATATTAATGCTCGCATTGAGATAGAATGCCACGTGATCCATTATTCCAGTTACTTCTTATATTCACCCAACATAATTCGAATAGTAAAAGTTCGGTGAATATTTTGTACCTTTATTTGAACCATCATTATAACAAATTGAGAACGCACGTGATATATCCATCCTATACACACAAACAAGTCTATTATGTTTTCGCAGGCGATAGTTATAAAGTCATTATGAAACGTGATTTATTATAATCAAATAGGCCTATTATTCCCCCACCATCTATTTTGTAGCTATTATTTGCCATATTTAGCACGTGATATATCCATCCTAGAGTACTCACATAAACCTATTTTCGCACGCTATTTGTCCAATTATAGCAGCGTGATATAAGCCACCTATTTTGTCCTTATACGACGTGACTAAGTAGTGCCTTACTACGCTTCACCGGCAATAACACCATTTACGAAGGATGTCAAAAAGTCCGCACCCTATTTGTCATTTTATGCACGTGATATATTTTTCTACAATACCACAATACACCGACGCCCACTTCAGTTCAAACTTGATAATTTCACTAAAGCACGGCTATGTGTGTCAATGTCATACAAGGCGGGACTGAATTGATGACTAAAAAAATCCATTTGGGCAGCCTAGTAACACCATCTATTTCGCATATTTCTATTTTTATCATTAAGGAGTGAGGCAGCGGGTTTACAATAACTCGAGATAAACTATTCACGAGGGATCTGCGAGGTCGTTCCACCTAATTTCGCACTACTATTTGTCATTATAGCAGCGTGATATATCCATCCTATTACACGATATGCCTGGAGAGAGGCATCTCATTAATTGTAACCGTATTTTTGTCTATTATATCCGATTCTGTGATATAAGTTCTACAAATAAAAACCAATACCCGTACAGACCAACCGATAATTTTCGCAACTTAGTTTGTCTTACCTTGGGATCGCGAAGACTTATAGTGTATATGAGCTTTTTCCATCCTAAGGAAAATCACAAACAAACGCTTAGGGGTTCTCGCATTCTACTCTCGCTTGCAGGTTACGTACTTGCTTATCTGTGTATATTTTCTAGTACTGGATTGTGGAGTGACCGCTTCTGCGGAGATTCAATAATTTATTCGCGACGTGCTATTTGTTCTTATACTGCAGCGATATAGAATATTTCTAAACCTTAATATTCTCTAGGTTTTACTACCCATCAAACACCCTATTTCGGCAATTATTTTAAGTACCATTAATACGCACGGGTGATCACCTGGTACGAAGTAACGCATACTGTAATTATGCAAGCCATAATTCACCCGATAGCGTATTTGTACATTATATGAAGCAGGATGATAACAGGGGTTTATTGAATTCACAAAGCGTATAAAGGCAAGAAAATTCCCATGGCCTAATATACAACATATCTATTTGTACGCAGTGTGGCAAATCACGCACGTGAATAACGCTGCCAGGTGTTCCTATTCAACAAACATAGTGACCACGACCATTTCTTATGTGTTTCCCATTATTAACGAGCGCTGAGGTGAGTTTATCCATTTGCGCGCTGAGTACGAATTCTGTGGAGAAGGAGTTAATATAAGAGACCTACCTGAGTGTATATTAACAATATCCGCTAGTTTTGTGCATTGAGTATTCTAGAAGTTAAAAAAGTGATTTCACCCAGGTGATGCTTGTGTGTGGGAGCGCCGCTACACTATCACCAATCCGTGGTTTGTGCCCTACGCTAAGTATCAGCCGCTCCGTAGGTATCTCATGAAGGTCTGCGTGCAGGTTAGTAACAGACCTCCAATCTCGAAGTATCGGCCGAAGTATCGGCTGCTCTGAGGATTCCATGGTGTGGCGGGGTGGGACCGTGGGGCGTGGGGCGCGAGGCATGGTAAGTAGTATATATAGTGACGACGTCGGGATTTCCAGGACACTGTTCCATTCAAATTGGTATTACTCGGCAGGGCTTCCACCTGGGGTTGATGCAAATGGGTCGAAACGCTAACGTGGTATCGGTTATTTTCGCTGAAGCTGGGGAAACTAACTCAGAGGAATTAAGAGTAAATGAACAGAGATTCTCTATTTACGTACTCCTGAACATAACTTTACGTTCTTTTTGAGAAGAAATTCCCTATTATGTACTCCCGGTGGAATCAGTGGACTGTAAGAGTACAACGAATAGCGATTCTCTATTTACGTACCCCTGAACGTGACCGCACTTAAGTTGTCCGAGTTGAAATGTTCCCGGAACATAACTGCATGTACTGTCCGAGTAGAAATTCTCCATTCACGTACACCTAAACATAAGTACGTAATGTCGCACGAAGGGTCGTTGTCGTATAATGGTGTATAATATGTACCTGAGGTAACTATTTGATATGGTTAGGGTTAGGGTTAGAGTGTTAGGGTTAGGGAGTAGGCGTAGGCGACATACTCGCCGACACCTCGGGTACTATACTTGGGTACACATACGACAACGACCCCTTCAGCCGTAATGTCCGAGTAGAAATTGTCTATTTACATACCTCTGATGGAACCGCCTCCACCCCTCTGTACTGCTGACACAGGTCTCTTGTTTTATGACGCGTTGCAGCACAACAGGTGGCAGGAAGGCAGCGCAGTCGTCAGCAAGCTCAACGAACTGATGGCCACGGTCGACCCGTTCTCCGACAGACGCATGCAGACGCCAGAGAGTGAGATGACATCCACGTGAGGCAGTCGCGTCTTGCCGTCGCGCGACCAGCAGAAAACTTCGTCCCCTCTCTATTACCGATTGTTACTCTACTCTACTGCCGATTGTTAGTCTGCTGGGTTCCTAAATCCGCCAGTACAAAGTTCGTCCACTCTCTACTACCGATTGTTACTACGCTAGATTACTAAATCTGCTAATACAAAGTTCGTTACCTCTCTACTACCGATTGTTACTACGCTAGATTACTAAATCTGCTAATACAAAGTTCCTCCCCTATCTACTACCGATTGTTACTACGCTATATTATTAAATCTGCTAATACAAAGTTCGTTACCTCTCTACTACCGATTGTTACTATGCTAGACTACTAAATCCGCCAGTACAGTTTGTTCCCTATCTACTACCGATTGTTACTACGCTAGCTTACTAAACGTGTTTCCACGTCACGATTCTTGTTCGGATTTTGTCAGATCTACTTGTACCACCGCAACTGCATGTAAACCGGTTGAAGTGAGAGGAGAAGGGTTGTGGGTGGGGGGTTACTTAAATTTAATTTAATTAAAACACCTCGTTATTTACCACTCATTAGACTTGCATACAAACTTGGGTGTCACTTTCCCCCGGGCGTAGATGGACGGAGCCGTTACGTGGCAGCACTAGTCACTTCGTACGCTTCAAAGTCCAAATCTTCCACCGAAAGATTCCACGGTCATACTTCTGTGCTAGACATGGCCTTATTTCCCTAACCCTAACCCTAACCTACGCCCGGGGGAAAGTTAATCTGCCTACAAACACTTTGTGTGTCTAAGTAAAAATTCACGGCTGTAGCATTAATGCACCCTGAACTCTTTGAATAAAAAATAGTGCCAAGAGTTTGGAGTTGACGTAATGTTACCTTGATGGAAAATTCTGATTAAATACGTGAAAAAATATCCAGAATAAGTTCTCATGATTTATTGATAAGCATGCAGTGTGTTTACACTGAATATGATTACTGCACTGATAACCAGCTTAAAACAAAACAATAACTATCTGAAACAAGAGACTAGCTAATCCAGTAGGCCAGAAGTAGACAACTACCCTTGCGTCGTAATATCGGTTAAGATACTGTATACGCCATGTTTTTCGCGTACAGATATTTCGGGAATTCAGACTTGATGGACAATTTCGCGGTTGGTGAATTATTCACGTGTTGTTATTTTCGCGGTCGGGGACGCGTTCGCAAAATTAGCAAAAATTAAACCACCGCGAAATATACAGCGTATACAGTAGTATGCGACTAGTGCACATTCATAACATCCGAGCAAAACTACCAGTGACAATAGTAAACACATGACTCTTGTGTTCACAATTCAGCTGCAAATTATGCAGTGATACAACCTTTAACAGGTTTAACACAATGATTACTAATTATGTACCATACACATGATTAAGTATACTGTCTGACAGTGTCTGTTAGTTACCTCGTTACGATCATTCACAGCTTATTTAATCGAACACATACACCTGAAAGAAGAGATGCTTCACTATAAAAGAAACGCCTGGCATTTTAACTACGCTAAAGCTTCAACAACAGCTATCAAGAAGACTGATGCCATTCACCATAAGCCTATACCGCCGCGCGCTTGCAGAATGCCACATCACATCCCGGCCGAAATGCAAAATCTGCACGGCTGCATGCTATTTACAGTATTTACAACAGTGCGTAAACAAGCACACCGTGACGGCGTATCGACCGCCAACTCAATTTAGTTACAATTAGTAACCTTCGTCGTTCGTGAAGTGTGCAACTCACTAGCTTCAAATAACGATTCTTACCGTGCTAAACGAGATCGTTTACACACACATTCCCACCAAGATCTACGTTCCAATTACGCACCCACTCGTGCGAACAAATAGTAAACTGCAAATATACAATGCATCATAAATAATTCGCTCTACCCAAACGCACGCGACGGGCAAGTTTCGCCGTCACAGGAGACGGCGGCGCCATACGCTCACTAGGGCGAACTCAGCTAAATTGCGCACATACACATAGTATTTACAGTTTGGTCCGTGGCGTCACTGTCATTTAATCGTTGACGATTTCGTCATCTCGCCTCGTTTTAATCATCGTTTGTACATCTCCTCGACATTCCCCCCCCCTCCCCCGACGTTCATTCATTCAGGAGTGGATCTCAGCGGTGGTAGTCGGCCGCCTCTATTGCTCGTGGCGTCCGCCGAGCTGCTCCTGTCTTCCTCTGTACACGGCTTCCGAAATGTTACGTTTCTCTGCGGAAGAAAAAAGTGCCCTTTCTCGTCAGTTGCCGCGTATCTCCGAGTCCGAGTGGGCTCTGCTACCATCCCCCGCCACCGCAGCAACAGCAGCATCCATCCCAACGCAGCAGCAATATTTCGCCCGCTCGGTTTTTCGCCCGCAAAGCTGCGTTTCGCCGCTTGTTCGAGATCCCCCACTCTAAAGTTTTAGCGACCCACAGCACATGTCGCGCGAAGGATTTCCCCCCGGCCAATGCGTGCGCATGTCCCGGCGGTAACCGAGGGAAACGGGAAGCTAAGGGATGGATGCCCACCTGGTGGTTCTGCCTCCATGGAGTTGTTGTCGGGCGATTGCGGCGGAGTCGGTTCATAGACGGGCATCGCCTTGCTGTAGGAGTGCTCACCGAGCACGGTGAGGGACGGGGAGATCGCAAAGTCGTAGCTGCGTCCTCCTCCTCCCTGCTTCTTCTCCTCCTCATCGAGCATCTCGACGTCGATGATTTCGTCCTTGATGCTCCTGCAACGACAGAGAGAGGCGCATGCTTACACCTGGACGCATCTGGGTTAACGAACGGCACCCTTGGCATACGGCATCTGGGTTAATGAACCACGCGCGCGGTACGGTACAGAAACGAATCATGACCGCTCTTCTTGCGATCGTTCGATCGCGGTCGAAAAACAGGACAGTTCCGACGGGATAGGCATAGCCTAGCGAGCATTGTGGAGCGTGGTGGAGAGATATCGAGCGCGGTGGAAAGATATGTCAAGCGTTGTGGAGAGATATCGAGCGT